GGGGGATGGTAAAAGGAAGATTATAGTAGAGGGGACCAGAGTGGCCATGAGGGTGTGATGAGAAGCCAACACCCAGGATTTGCAGATGCATGGAAGTTGGTGTTTGAGAGTAAGACAGGAGGGATTGTGGCTTGAGCAATTCTAAGGATGGAGTTGCCATTGATGGAGCTGGGAAGACCACAGTGGAACACATTTGTGGAGGGAGATCAAGAATTGTTATGAACATGCTGAGTTTGAGATGTCTATGAGAGATCCAAGTAACGATGCCAAGAAGTTATTGGATGAGAGCCTGAAGCTTAGGGGAAAGCTCTGGGCTGGAGTTCTAGGTTTGGGTCCTTCTTCAGTGTAAAGATGGTACTTAAAGCATGCGGACTGGAAGAGCTGACCAGAATAGCTGAAGAAGAATAGTCCCAAGGCTCAGTCCTTCAAGCAGCAGAAAACTAAGAAGGTGTGGCCAGTGGGGGATTGGGGAGAGAAAAGAAATGAGGAAAGGAAGAGAAACATGATGGGGGAGTTAGATGGGGCTTTGGTTATAGAGATCAAAGTCCCTTTGAGGAGGTGACATTTGAGCTGAGACTTGCTTGATGTAAAGATGATGATGATCAGAAGATCTGGGGGAATAGGGTTCTTGCTGGAAGGAAGCTCAGAATGCTGCAGGGGAGGAGAGAAGGCCAGCTTGGCTCCATCCTGGTGACGGAGGGAAGGCAGGGCCACCTCACACAGCAGCTTGTAGGCCATGGTTGAAAATCCAGGTTTTAGGGCCGGCCCGTGGCTCACTTGGGAGAGTGCGGTGCTGATAACACCAAGGCCACGGGTTCGGATCCCTATATAGGGATGGCCGGTTAGCTCACTGTGGAGAGCGTGGTGCTGACAACACCAAGTCAAGGGTTGAGATCCCCTTACTGGTCATCTTTAAAAAAAAAAAAAAAAAAAAAAGAAAATCCAGGTTTTATTCCAAGAGTGATGGGGAAGCCTTTGGAAGGTTTAAGCAGAGGCGTCATCTGGGTGGGTCACTGGGTGCGTTAGATGGACAACGGAATACAGGGGGCAGATTGGAGGCAAGGAGGAGAGGTTACCCCAGCTCAGGTAACAGGTGGTGTCTTGGACCAGGATGGACCAGGAGGCACACTGGAGGCAGTGGATGGGTCAAGCAGTCACAGAAATGGAGCACTTCTTTGGGTCAAGGCCTGTGGAAGGAAAAGAAAGGCTACCTATGAAATAAACATGTTTGTGAGGCACAGTCCTTGCTCTCAGCTTATTTAGTGTTTACTTACAGGAAACTCAGGCCATACACCTAAAGGTGCAATATACACACAAAGCAACCATTAAATCAGTGCATGCTAGTGGTTAAATAAGTGCAAAAGGGTAAGTGGAAAAGAAGCAACAGGGGTACCCGGGAAAGAGAAGACTCTGGAGCCTTCTTTAGATGTGAGAGGCATTCCATTTCCCAGTAGGCAGCAGAGGAGCACTGCCTCCCCTCCCCTTAGCCCAGGGCCCAGCGAGGCTATAGGAGCTGAGGCGGCTACAGGAGCTGGGGCGTCTAAGAACCTGGCTCCAGGCTCCAGTTTCCCAACTTATCCTGAACTCTGAGAAGCGGGTGACTCAGGGGAGGTCCCTCCCGGCACGCCGAGTTCTCAGCTGGCTGGGAGTGACTCATTACCTCGCTCGCTCCCTCACGAGTGACCCCGGGCCAATCCCTTAATGAGCCTACACCTCATTCTTCTCATCTGGCCAGGACAATTGCCTACTGGAGTTTTTGGCTCCCAGGGGGCAGGGCTCCTGTTTGCGACTGTCCAGGTTCTTCCAGATGCTTCTGGTAGGGTCGTAGGAGAGTAAACCTTTAGGGCAGATCCAAGGCCCCAGGCCCTCCTGGCTCCCAGGCGTTCTTTTAATCGCGGAGCCATTCAATAACATTTTGTACCGAATCCAGTTTCGCAAGCATTGATGTCTTGGAGGATTTTCTTTTGGACACCTCCTTAATATAAAAACTTGCATGGAAAAAAAACCCCAGAACCAAAAAACAACCAATCAGAGCAGCCCTCCAAAGTCAGTAAAGCAGAGATCAAAGGCTCTGGGAAGACAGGGAGCATGGGTTAACCAATGGACCTCCATTTCTGGGGAGAGCTGGGCTGCAGGACTCCGGGGCTCCAGGGGGCAAGGGGGCGACTGCGTGAGGGCGCGGGGCCAGTGCTCTGAGTGCCCCGCGCAACGGAAGCAGACGAGAAGCGGCAGGGAGAGAGCTCGGATCCCCTGCACAAAGCCCGCCGGCCAAGCAGATGCCCGGGCACCCGGGGTGGGAGGGGGCTGCGAGTAGCTCGCCCGGGTCACTGGGTCCCTGGCCGGCGCTTTGGCGCCTCCTACTTCCAGCGCACCGGGTCGCAGCAGGGCGACTCCGTGCGTCCCCCTCTCCCGCCCTCCAAGCCGGAGCAGCGCCCGCCGCCCTCCCCTGGCCCCGCCGCCTGGGTTCGTTGCCCCTTTGGGACCCGGCAGGTGGACCGGGACGGGCGCACCCTGCTCCCTGCCACTGACCCTCTCGGGGACCCTCCCCCGAGCTCTGGTGTGCCTCCGCGCCGCGGCCCGCCCGGAACTCGCAGCGGGCGCCGCCGAGTTACCTGCCCCGGGAAGTCACAGTCCGCAGCCCGGACTCTAACGGGGTGGATCCGGCAGAGCCCGAAGCCACATTCCTAGGGGAGGGGTCTCCACCCTCGAGGGTCGAGGATCACGTTACCGGCCGAGAGGAGGAGACAGCAGGAGGCAGAGTAAACGGGGTAAAAGTTGCATTTAGCTTATTCCTTTTTTTTTTTTTTTTTTTTTATAAATCGTGCTTCGACTCTGGATGACTCGGGGACACGGTGTCCAGCCAGTTTTTGGAGCCTGACGGCCCCGGAGCGTTTTGCCAGGACAGAGGCACCTTTCTGCCCCGCGGAGGCGGGAGCGGGTCTGCAGGGCGGCCGGGCTGCGGATGCCCAGCGCCCCGGCGGAAGGCGACCCCCGGCCGCCCGGGGGC